GTAATATATGACAAGTGAGATCCACTTGCCTTAAAAGGCAAGTGGTGTACTGGGTCATTACTTTACTTTATTCCAACCTGTAGCTGCAGTTTCTAACATGGGGTAACAGCCTGACTTGTAGATGGATTCCCCTGGTGCCCCACCCCCCACCCCCACCCAAAAAAAAAGTTTACTGTGATAGATTGGAGGAAGCACAATGTGTGGAGAATGTCAGTCTGCCTTCTTATTTGTCCGTTATCCTTACTAAGATATAAAACATAACAGTGGAAAGAAGAAGTTATTTGATCACTTGGAGCTCATCCCTTTGGTACTTTAACTCTTCCATTATTACATCTGTTTTAATGTTTTTTGCCTGTTATCTTGCCTGATGCATTCTTCTGGAGGAGGTGGCATGATGATAGTGTAACTGGACTAGTAACCTAAAACCCAGGCTCGTGTTTAGGGGCACAGATTCGAATTCCACCATGGAAGATGGTGAAATTTGAATTCAGCGGAAGTTTGGACTTAGAAGCTGGGCTATTGATGACCATGCACTATTGTCAACTGCCATTTTAAAGAAAAGTCTGGTTCACTAACGTCCTTTAGGGAAGGAAATTTGCCATCCTTACCTAGTCTGGCCTGAGTATGACTCCAGATGCACAGTAATGTCATAAACTCATACAGCATAGTAACAGGCCCTTTAACCCCATCATGTCTGTGACTATTAACTTCCCTCTGAAATGACCTGGCAAGCCATTCAATTGAAGGGCAATTAAAGACAGGCATTAAATCCTGGCCTTACCAGTAACACACTCATCCCATAAACGCATAAACAAAGATGTCACCCTGAATAAACAAATGTTGTCATTAAGAATTCTAAATATGCTTTAATTCGTTTTCATTATGTGAACTGGCCTATTTTGACAGACTTTGATGAGCTAATCTGGGTTTATATTATCTATTTGCCTTACATTTATATCCTGCTTTATCAAGTTGAAACATCTCAGTGCTTGTTCTTTTTTCTTGGAACTCGGTGACAATTATATAGACAGATACAGCAGTTATTCTTTATTTGCAGCTTGCAAGAATCATGCAAGGAAAAGAAGAACATGTGCAAGGGGGTTAAAATAATGAAATGGGTTTTTTTAAATATATGTGTTGCTATTCAATCATGAAATTGTGATAAGTTCGACAGTGAATCTGTCTTCGGGTGAGTTATTTTAATTATTTGTAAGTTTCACAATATGAAGTAGCCTGTATTCATGCAGCATAATTGCTTTCACATTTCAACAGATTCTTCATTTTAAATTATAATACATTGTGATTCTCAGCACTTGCTATATTACTTTTGATTTCATCAAAGTAGGAACAACTGTGTTCAGAACTTGAATAATGTTTTCTGATCAAATCTAAACAAAGAGTTGATCATTTTGATTTGAAGAAAGCCTAATCAAATACTTTTTTCTATTTAATTATCTTGTTATAATGCCAATTGTTAAACAGATGGTTTGTTATTAACCGTTTAAGCAAAATAATCTATGATCAGGAACTATTGTATTTTGAACAGAGTATGCTATATATGAGTGTTACTAAGTCTCAAATATAGAGAAACAGATATTCTATAACCTTAAACATATTTGCAAAATATTTATTCACTATATGCATGATATTAGTAAATTTAGTTTCTTTAAGTTTTTTTGTCCAAATCTTTCCCATAAATATTTTCATAAATTTTCTAAGAGTTTATGATACAACACTTTGTATTTAGCATTGTGTTAAGTTCAGTACAGATCAGTTTCTTTCAATACCTGAGGTACTTGCCCATATCAGTTTTTAAGCAATGTGCTCCATTAAGATATGGGCTACTTTAAACAATATACAGAGAAATACTGTGGACTGAATATTCTCAGCCTCTGAACATGTCATTGGTGGGGAAGTTGGGAAAGACCTCAAGATAGCTTGAGATCGAAAGTGTTGATCCTCCCGCCTTTGAGAGCAAAACGTGCCATTTTCCAACCAAGTGTTGGACAGCAATATGAGATTCTTGTGTTGAGTGGCGAGAAACCTATTGGCATGTATTAAAATCTTCATTATTATGCCATCTCGTCTCATTGATCTGCAGTTTCCCATTCTCCCACCTGCTGTATAGAAACTAGACAGAGACAATACCTGACAGAAATTCATTGTGATAACTTGGTGACTCAAGCTCACGGCTTGCTCCACAAGACCTCCATCAGTCACAACTAAGAGCACCCTCAAGGCGCAGCAACTTCTGGAACTGTGCATCCAGCAGGGCCTTCCAGTCCCTGTTGGCTAAGTGGGGTGCCAGTTGCTTTTTTTTTTTAAAAGTATTTGGTTCAAATTAAGCGAACCATCCAGGTCAGCTGTAGATCACCAGCACACGACTGGGTGCACATTTAATCTTGAAAGATGGAGCGAGAACCAGGAATCCCTGGAGGTCCTGGCATTGGCCAATGCCTCTGTCAGTGGTGACTGGAAGAATAAGACAAGTGGGACAGCATGCATGCATGGTTAATGAGGCGAGTTTGGAGAGAGAGTGTGAGAAAACACATTAGACATCACAGAGAGTAACCATCCACGACTCTCATCAAAAATGACTCAACCAATTTCTTGTAAAATTCAGTTCTAAATCAAGCATAATGGTCTAAACCTTGCTGGAGCAGGGAGTCTAGCAATGTGCATTGTTAGACTTTCTCCTGCACTTTTTAAAAACTATTTCAGCTGTAGTGTTATGCAAGTACAAGCTGGTTGCAGGGACCTTGGTGAACGACGGGGATAATACTGTAGCTCCTTGACCAATGAGATTTGAGGATTAACAAAAACTCAAATTGTGAAGAAGGAATGTGGGTGTTTGTGAGCCAAATGACACAGAGAGGATAATACAGATGAGTACAAAAGATTGTCTCTTTTTTCACATTCAATCCAAAGAAAATGAAAATATTTAAAAATATGTAATTGTTAATAACCACAATTTATTACATGAAGAAATGAAACTTTATAGTTTAACTTGTTCCCTTCTTGGGCCAGAGCAATTTATTTATTATACAAAGGATACACAGCACAGAAATGGTCCATTTGGCCTGGAGGGTCTATGCTAATATCTATATGCTTCACCGTCATCTTTCCTTATCTAAACATATGAGCATAAGACCCCATTTCCTTCTCCCTTTTGTGCTTATCAAGCCTCCGCTTAAATGCATCTGTATTACTTGCTTCGACCATTCTCTGTAACTGCAAGTTCCAGATTATCAACACCCTTTTAGTAAAGGCATTTTACTGAATTTTCTATTGGACTTCTTGGTGACTATCTTATATTGAGAGCCTCTACTTTTGTTTTTCCCTTAAGTGGGAGCATTCTCTTTATCTCTACTTGATCAAACCTTTCATAATTTTGAAGACTACTATTTACATTGCATTACTGAACAAAATCCGGCAAGTTCTTAAAAATATTGGTGAAATGAAGAATGAGATGCCATTTGTCAAACTGATTGGTGGAGCAGTGTAAATTAACTGGAAAAGTCTGTGCCAAGAATAATGATTGAGTTTGCATTGGGATCTATAAGGGGTTCGTGGTGTTGGGGGATGTTGACTGAGTTGGCATGGAGAGCACAAGAACTATTATGTAAGGTATGAGGAGCCATTGGGTTTGGCTGGGGTAGGGAATTGGACAGGGGTTAGAGAAAATGTGAAGGATGAGGGCTAACCAAATAAATATGATGACGTCCCAGAGAACCAAAGTTCTGCAATGGATAATGTTCTGGAAACCTGGGTTCGATTGACACCAAGGCAGATGGTAGAATTTGAATTAAATTTTTAAAAATCTGGAATTAAGAGTCTAATGATGACCTTGAAACCATTGCTAATTGTCAGAAAAATCCATCTGGTTCATGAATGTTCTTCAGGGAAGGAAATTGCTGTCCTTAGCTTGTTTGGCCTAGATGACACTCCAGAGCGGCTGACACTTAACTGCCCTTTGGGCATTTTAGAATGGGTAATAAGTTCTGCATCACTGACTAGTACTTTTACTTAAAAAAACGAGTGACAACATTTCAGAAGTAATTTATTGGTTCTAAAGTTATTTCTGACATGAGAAATGTTGTATAAATTTAAGTTCATCTTCCTTCATTTTAGAATAGTGAACAGATGTTACCTATTCATTTTAAATATACTGGTGAAACCTGTCTGAATTTTAGAAAGTTAAAACAATATTTTGCTTAAATAGTAAGCAAAAACCCTTTAAAAGTTATTATTCATTTAACAAAAAGGGAGTTAGAACTGTAACAATTTTTAGCTTATTTCTAATATATATTATAGCCCATTTGTCATTGAAAGAATGCCCATTAATAAGAACCCGCCATATTGCCATCCAATTTTGTTTTTAAGAAAAAGCTTCCCCATCTCCCTCAATTTGGAATAATCCAAGTTAGTTTCATAAGTTTTATAAATTGGGATGTATTTACTAATAGCTTGCATTTGTCTATCATTTATGGGACAGAAAAACATGCCAGAATGCGTCACAAAGGCTTAATCAAAATAAGTAGACTGTTAGGCCAGAGGCATGTGCACAGTTTACCCAGACGACTGTTGACCAATATGTATTGTTCGGTCTAAAACCTGAATGAAATGGAGGGCTAGAAAGAAAAATATTCAACTTCTAGGTAAAAACTATAACTCTTCAGGACTGATGAGTTTACTGAATATTGTACCTGTAAATGCAAATGAAGAGAATTAATATAAATTAATATCAAGGTGAACACTTCAAATGTTTAATCCTTCGTTTCCTGACATCTCCATGTGATTGCATTTTTTTTTAAAATTACATCTGATTAATAGAATCTGTTTTGTAAATCTAAGTTGATTAAGGTACAAAGTTGAACATTTTTAGTTAAGTTTATTTGAAATTGGACACGGCTTGACTGCAGAACGCTGTTCACCGAGTGATAAAACAATTGCCTGCTGTGTTACAATTAATATTGAACAACTTGTTTTTATCTTTCCAGAAGATGAAAATAGCTTCCGAGACCTTCGTAAAGTTCTTGTACTGTACAAAAATGCAGTGATGCCTTATAGCATCTATCAGAGACGAAAGAAGGGCAGAGCCGATGATGAATCAGCAGTACGGCAATATGCAAGTTTGGTTGGACAGACCTGTGCGGAACGAATGCTGCTTTATCGAAGCTAAAAGCATGGTTTGTGCATTAAGAATCAAAATAACATGACACTGTATGTTAAATTAATGCTGTTTAACAATATCACAATGCAAAAATCCAATTTTAAACCACTCTAGCCAATTACTCAATTTTTTTGTGCTGTAAATGTTTTTCTTTTTAAAGCATACACAGAAGGTAACCTTTACAATATGGAACTTTTCCAGACCATGCCATTTTGTTTCTATTTTCTTTAGGCCACGCCTCACCAAAGATGTCTTAGTCTCCTAGCATCTAGGTTAGAATAGCTGTGCTTTGTTCTTTTGCTTTAGTCTTTCGCTCTTTCTCCCTTCTCTTTCCACAGTGCTCAATTTTTTTCCCCACTTAATCCCTTTGAAGTTCTAAATCAACTTTCTTAATCTTGTCTTTCCATGTCATCCAGTTCTTTGCCCCAATATTACTTGAAGTTTTGCTTTGATTTAGTTTATTTTCATTTTTTTCTTTTTTATCTTTGGTATGTAGACAGCTGAACAACCTTAGAGAGCTGGAGAAGGATGCCACATATTGATTGCTGGGTGTTGTACTCCTTTATGTCCGTGTATTTTTTGTTTGCTTATGTCACAGCCTTTACTCTGAAAATGGGGAATTAGTTAGTTGAATGAGAATATTTAAGTTTCAGAAGAGGTAAATGCATATATCTACACTCCACAATTCTCAGACTCCCCAGGATATTCTGGTGAGGTATATAGCTGTTAAAGCCAGGTCTTTAGTTAAGTTTATGTTTCTTTATAAAAGTGTGTGATTAATTGTTTCTATAAATTTCTTCTTGCACATATGTCTATGCTTGTCTGGAAGGGCCAAAGAATACAAGAAGATAACTAATTTTTGTTTTTTAATTAGAAGAGATATATATAATAGATATACTAGCTATAGTGCAGGAGGGAGAAAATATTGTGACAGATTTTTTTTTGCTGTAAAGCCATTTTTCAGGGAAAGTTAGGCGAAGATTTTGCATAATATTAAAAATGAACAGGAAAGAAAAAATATTCTGAACCAACAAAGATAAAGAAGATCAGTTATTTGTCACAATGTACACGATTGACACAAATTTCATTATATAAATACTGTATTTGCATAAGTAAAATAAATGTAAATGCTAACATCAGTCTTCTCATTTTGATTTCTTACATCTAATAGAATTCTGTTTGATAGACCATTATCACCTTAGTTAGGCACATTATCGGAGTAAATTTTTCACCTCCATGAACCATTCAGATCTGGCATCCTGGTCCAAAGCTCCATAACTGGAAAGGTTGCATTGGCACAGTGAACTCATTTCATACTTGGCTGCAGCATAGACATAACAAGTGATCGCAAAGTACATTGAGAAGAGAAGCTATTGATCATGAGCATACAGCTGATGACAGAAACTGCATGGATGGAAACCATATGTTGTTAGACAAAAAACAGCACTTTTCTCAGCCTGCCAAGTATCTGTATAGATTTGCTTGAGGTGGTGCATGTGTTGTACTGATACATATTTAGAACTATGCCCTTTTCCATCGATGTCAAGCAGGGAATAAACATTTCCCCTCAAGACTGTGTGACATACTATTTGAATGGTGCATTTAAGACTGACATAGGTATTTGAACTAGGGACACAAAAGGGGAGAAAGTGGGAAGTTCCACAATTCCCAAAAATAGTTGAATGAATTATGTATGGCAGCAACTTGTTTTTAGTATGAACATGCATGTTAGGAGCAGGATTAGGCCATTTGGCTCTTCGACCATGTGAGCCATTCAGTAAAATTCTGCCTAATCTTATTACTTCACATTCCTACCTAATCCCAATAACTTTTCACTCCCGTCCTTATCAAAAATCTGTCTACCCCTATGTTAAAGCATTTAAAGACTCTACTTCCACCGTGTTTTGAGGAAGAGAATTCCACGCATTCACGAATCTGTGAGAAAAAAGTCCTCGTCATTTCTGTCTTAACTGGGCAACCCCTAAATTTTAACCGTAACCCTGGCCCTGAATTCTCCAATGAGAAGAAGCATCCTTTCCACACCTATCCTGTAAAAATCCTTCAGGGTGTTGTATGTTTCAATCAAGTCACCTGTAACTCTTCTAAACTCCAATAGCTTAGCCTGCCCAATAATACTACTTAAAGAACCTATCCATTCCAGGTATTATTCTAGTGAACAATTTCTAAACTGCTTCCAATGATTTTACATCCTTTCTTAATGAAATAAATAAATATATCACCTTTAATCTCATAAAATAGCCAAGGGTGCTCCAAGTACAATATAGAGCCGATTACCGAAATCTTGGTCAGAGGGATCAAATGTTATGGTCTCAGTTACTGGAGCATGCCACCAATACGCGAGCAATTAAGATTGGCATGTTCAAGAGATCAGAATTATTGAAGTGCAGATACTTCAGTATATTGTAGAGTTGGAGGAGATTACAGAGAGAAAGGGTCAGACCATGGATGGTTTTGACATCAAAGATGAGAATGTTAAAATCAGGGCATTGCTTAACAAGGGACCTCTGCAGGTCAGCAAGACTAAAGGTATTGGGTGAATGAAATTTGATGTGCATTATAACAGAAGCAGTTGGGTTTTGGATGTTCAGAAGTTTATGGAAGGTAGAATGTCAGCAGTTGGCCTGGGATTCGTTTAAATTTTCAGGTCTGCAGGCAACAAAAAGGGCTATTGCACAGGCAGAGTAGGTGGTAAAGTCAGTGGTCTAAATGACAGCATAATGTGATGGAAAATTTATCTCTGAGTTCAATATAAGTCAGAGTTTATAAACAGTCTGGTTAAACCACAGACAATTGCCAAGGAGACGAGTGGAATGGGTTTGTGACAGTGATCAAAAACAACGCCTTTAGTTCTTCCCAATAGTTAATTGGAGGAAGGTTCTAGTAATGGGTGTCAGACAGGCAGTCTGACCATTCAGAGACTTTGGAGCGGTGGAGAAAGGCGGTGTGAAGGGTAAAGCTGGATTTTGTAAGTATACGAGTAGAAATGGATATGAAGCTGAAATTTCATTTTGTGGACCTCCAGTTCTGCCATCTGGAGAAATGTGTGTCAGGAACCCACGCCTATGCTATGTGGCCACCCCTGTCAGGTGGTCACCAGAGGCTGGAGTGTCAATAGGAGACATTCCAGAAAGAATGGCAGTCAAATTAGTCGAGGTGGAAGCTGCTAGGGTAGGTGAAAGAATGTGACTCTCTGAAAAGCTGTCACAAAGTTTTAAAAGAAAGCAAAATGGCCACACTGTCAGGCCATGTGTCCCAATTGGAAAATTGCAGGGAGGTCTTCATTGGGCCTTTAATTAGCTGCCAGCCTCTTAGAGATAGTGTATGGCAAGAAATTACAGATAGTAGCACCGCTAAGTGAAAATTCAGCCTGTTTTTCATGAGCAGCAGCATGTAGTTGAGAGGTAAGAGAAAACCAAGGATAGATCTTGAAGACACCACTGTTATAAGAGAATGGAAACACAAGCTATTGATGACAATTGGGTAAGATTGTTAAAAAGTGATCTCATTCAGTTAGATGACAGTGGAGAAACATTGGAGGAGAATGGTGCAATCAACTGTATGGAAGGTTTTTCACTGGTCCTGAAGGATGAGGAGGGATAGTCTGTCTTTGTGCCTGTCACGAAGGATATAATTTTTCTCAGTTAAGCATACAGTGGTGAGCACATGTAGATACTTCAGTAAAATGGAAGTGCTTCAGGATGTTTTACAAAATTGCATGTTCAATTTCAACCAAATTGTTCCAATGTATTAGTCATTAATGTGTTGTTGTTCACTTATTTGATTGCTAGGCTAAGAGAGTAACTTACGTTGATAACCATGAAGAGCAGCCAAACAGCTGTTACTGATTATGTTGAAATAGTTTAACTGAAAGAATAGATTTTCTATTTTATTTCAGAACCAAGTTGTGAAGAATTTTCCCAAGAGCAGAATAAATGGGCTGTCTGTCACACTGTCCAACTTATGTATTCTGTTTACGCAATTCACTGATAGCATGAAATAGAAATTGTGAAGTTGGCACTTTAATTTGTTTCTGTGTAACAATGGAACACAGAGACTGTGTTCCATATCATGCAAAGCATATATCCTTTCATTCTCTTTTCCACTAATAGACCCCAAGAAGAAATTGAATAACTTTGGATAGCTATGAAGAAAACGTGTCAACTTGTATTGTTATAAAACTGATTACTGGTACATCTTTCAAGACACCTCAAACTGGAAGTACTTTATCTGCCCAGTGATTGTTAATCGGCCAGTGTGATAGCTGTTTTGATCACAGAACAGGCCACAAATGAGATACCATTATTTTATATAGTGTTGGTTTTGAATATAGATTGAATATATATTTTGAAATATATATACATACCTGGGAAAGTTATATAGGTCCATGATCCTTACAATCTATCTAACTGCCAGTTCCAGCGATGTAGCTTTTCCTTCTGCTGTGTGCTAGCTTAAATTAAATGCTCCAGACCTAGAGAGTGGCTTAATTTCACATATTTTGACCTTATAAGTCATACGACTTCAGAAACGAAATCATTATTTTTGGACTAATAGAGAAAATTTGGTGATGAAAGAGCAGAGACAGCCTTGCAAAATAAATAACTAGTAATAGTACATTAGGAAGGGGAAAGTTTTATCAGAATTGTCACTCCCGATCAATTTCAATGAACCATTCAGAAAATTGCAAATTTCTGGACATTGTGTGAGGTGTTGATCAATTTTCAGGCCTTCCATAGCAGAATAGACAGCTACAATGTGTCCTGTGGACCTCAAAACCTGAGGAATTGCCACTTGGATAGGTATCAGAGGGTGGATGTACTCAAGATTGTACACCCAAGAGTTAGCACCTATTTATTTTGAAGAACGCTGAAGAAAAAAAGTTGCAATCATAATATATTATTTGCATATGTTGTATATGTTCCATATTTTGGTCATAATGAAATCTTGATCACTTTAGACTATCTCAAAGAACTTAACAGTTAAAGAAGTATCTTAAATGCACACACTGCTACAGTGTCGTGAAATCCAGGAGAGTGTGGCATTTTACTTAAGAGCAAGAATGTTACCTCTGAGCCAAAGCTGAAAACTGATTATATATTACAATAGCCATTTTTTGTTTTAAAGAGCTAATGGGGCTTCAAATGCTGTGTAAAGGTGTGTGCAAGCTGACTAAACCTACATTAAGTATTCTTGTATATTGTCCAGTGAGAGTTATATTAAATCTGTTACTTAATAATCTGTTTTAATGTACCATTTAATAAGCACAACACAGATTTAATTTAGCTTTTAAGTGATTATCAGTTGATTCTTGCAATTTTTGACTGCATGGATCAAACTAAATTTCTCAAAACGGTTACATGCATTCATGATGTACATAATTCATGATACTCCAAAGTACCCAAATTCATTGACGGGAAAAATAGGTACACATGTCCATCTAAATTGCATTTTGGCAATCTGGATGGAAGAAAATAGAAATGCAGGAATAGTTTTCAAACTTAATTTTCCCTGGTATTGTGCCAAATAAAATGACTGAATTTGCATAAGTACTAATAATTTGAAGTGAATATATATTTATAATCCATTTAAGGGAATGTGTGATGTGGTGTATTAGAACATTGAAAACCACTCAAACAGAAGTAAAATGCAATCTGGTCCAATCTGGTGGGCAAAGGTCTAGAATCATAGAATCCCTACAGTGTGGAAACAGGCCCTTCGGCCCAACCAGTCCACACCGACCCTCGGAGCATCCCAACCAGACCCATCCCCATAACCCACCTAAGCTACACATCCCTGAACACTACGGGCAATTTCACATGGCCAATCCACCTAGCCTGCACATCTTTGGACTGTGGGAGGAAACCGGAGCACCCAGAGGAAACCCACGCAGACACGGGGAGAATGTGCAAACTCCACACAGACAGTCGCCCAAGGGTGGAATCAAACCCGGGTCCCTGGCGCTGTGAGGCAGCAGTGTTAACCACTGAGCCACCGTGCCGCCCTAAAAGTCTTAGGTCATGCGAAGCTCTGAACATAGATCTTGCATTGCCACACTCATTCAGACCACAGGGTTAGCTTCCGTGGGATATGAGGTTGTGGCTGAGAGAATCTTTAACCTGGATTTTAAATAAATTGGTATCACCAAAAATGATACAAGTCCTCCATGCTAATGTGCTGTGCTTTTTTTCTTTATTCATTCATGGGATGAGGGTGTCGCTGGCTAGGCAGCATTTATTGTCCATCACTAATTGCCCAGAGGGCAGTTAAGAGTCAACCACATTGCTGTTCGTCTGGAGTTACATGTAGGCCAGACCAGGTAAGGATGGCAGTTTCCTCCCCCAAAAGGATATTAGTGAACCAGATGGGTTTTTCTGACAATTGACAATGGATTCACGGTCATCATTAGATTGTCAATTCCAGATATTTATTGAATTCAAATTCCACCATCTGCCATGGCGGGATTCAAACCCGTGTCCCCAGAACATTATCTGGGTCTCTGGATTAACAGTCCAGCAATAATACCACTAGGCCATCACCTCCCCGGGAGGTAGGCACTACATCACTGGAATAGCATTGCCGGTAAAGAACAAAAAATTAATTTGTTTTGATTAGAAATATGAGAAGAGTAGAATCCTGTAAGGCTTTGTAAATACTGCAGCCAACGTCAAACTAATACTGTGTTTCCTACACAGCAGGGTAAGCGTTGGTTCTCTCAGTGATAAAGATGATGGATGTACATGCCTGGCAATCTAAGATTCATAGTCATGGTGACAGGAATATGAAGAAGGAGACTCTGTAATATTATAAAACTAAGATGGGAAGAGATTTCATGCAACTTTTTTTAAGTACTGTTCTGAGATTTGCTTCCTGTATAGGTTTGAAACTTAAAAAAAAACGCTCCATGCATTAACTTATTGCTACATGGTCATGAAAGTGCTACAGCAAACCAAATATGGAAATTTAACATGGTGTGTAATAAATGGATGATGAGCATCTGTCCAAATATTATGATGTGCCAATACTTTTAAATTGTTGCATTATCTTAAAATGGTGTTTAAAGCTACCACTTTAATCTGTGGTTCTCTCAGCCATTCAAACATTCTACTTGTTCTGTCCCTAATTCAGGTGAATAAAAAAGTCAGTCCAGAACAATCTGATTCCTTATTTAACTGAAGTTATCATTCTGTCCCTCTTGGAATGAAAAATAAGAAGTTGCGGTTTCTTCCAGTGACGGACTAGTAGTTGCCAGTCTCTCTGGTGGTCAGTTTGGAGGTGGTTTTCCATTAATAACCAGCTGGTCAGATGAGAGCACTTTTGTAAGATTCTTCATACAATCAGGGTTTTTAAAATTGACATTGTGCATAAAAATTAGCAATTCATAATCCTCCATCTCAGCTTGCCCTTTCTAGATCATTATGCTACATTTTCGGGTGTTGGAATTATGATTGAACACATGATCAAGGGATAGATTGTATATCACACAAAGTGTCTTCTATTCCCTTGTGTTTGTTGTACAAGTGCCTTCTACAAATGGTTACTTTTAAATTATTTATTTCATGAAATAGGAAATATGTGGTGGGTTTATACCTAAAGTTGATATGTAGCACATTGCTTCAAGTAAAATATCTTCCTGTTAAGACCTTAAATCCAGGTGATTCACTTATGCACTGCAATTTTGACATCACATGTCTTTATTGTGAATAATAATTCTAAACCAGGTACTGTTATAGGTCCATATAATTATTCGTGTTAAATATTCATTAACTGCTATGTTTCAGTTTCTTGATATGAATTGAATATTTTCTTATGTTAAATTAAAACATTTAACATAAGTCATTTTCATTAATCATTTGGCATTGTTCAGCAAGTGTGTTACTGGATGAGATTGTCATTATTTTAAAAGTATTGTTGAGTTCAATTATTTGTTAAATCTAACATGTAGCAATTGATTAATAAAAACTTACACTCTCTGACAACAGCCAGAGCAATAGCTGTGCTTCATGATCATTATAAAGGCCAATTGTTGGTGAAGAAGTGTTCTTTATTTCATTTGAATTTAGTTATTTGGATTTTTTTTTTTGGGTTCTTACTCGTGTGTTTAAATGTTGACCACAGACAATGAGTTCCATCTAATGGACAGTGATGTTTCCATCCTAGTGGTAGATGATTACAGAACTATGGGAGTGAACATGGACAAAATTGGTATACCAGACAATGATTTTGTATCCTTTCTCAGCCAGGAAGTTATGGTGAGCATAGACAAGTAAGAAAATGTAAGTTTCTTTGAACATCTTCTGTATTCAGTGGAGCCAGTTTTCATCTTGAACAAATGTATGAGCAATCACCAACGTGACCAGACTGCCTGCCTGATTGCAACTGTGAGAGCTGCAAGCCGTGTCTATACATCTTTATCATTTTGAAAAACATCCAGTGCTTAGTGAATGCTGCTCCTCAATAGTGTGTAGTGGGAAGAAGCTGAAGATTCAGTGATTTCTCCACTTAGCCAAGTTGGAAATCCAAAAACTTCAAATGATATCAGATAACCACTAACTGAGGTTTAGATTTTCTGGCCGGGGAAGCACTTGTGTTTACCTGGAATATTTCTGTTGGTTATGCCAGTGTAGCAATTGAGTTAAGTACTTTAGTCAGGCCGTTTAGAGTGGGAGCTCTCGCCCTTCTGTTGACGCTTACTCAGAAAGAAGTTGACAGATTTTCTTAAAAAAATTAAACATTAATGGAGTGGTTCTCAGATGAAATTGTCTCAGTGTTTCCAATTCTTCCCTTTCGCTATTCCCTTAAAAACCATGTTGGTCGTCTAATATAGGTAAGGTCAAATGACATTTTTACTCTGCAGTGTAAAGTGAAATAACAACTCCACAGAGGCCAGTATACTATCACCAAGTCACCCTTTATTTACATGTGGAGAGTCCTTGACACTTAGCCCAGCTCTCCCAGGGTGAACAGAACCTCTGACACTCCTGTTTATATCTGTCAGCCAGGGTTCCCTAATTGGACCAGATTAAAAGCCCCAATCAGGGAACTCATATTCTATGAGAACCGAAAGAACCGCTGATGCTGTAAATCAAGAACAAAAGGGAAGGGTCACCGGACCCGAAGCATTAACTCTGAGTTTACTTCACAGATGCTGCTAGACCTGCTGAGCTTTTCCAGCAACTTCTGGTTTTGTTCATATTCTACGAAGTCCACCTGGCTGACCTCGTTACAATCACTACATAAAGTTTTGTTTTATCAATACCAGTCATGTTTGTATTGTTCTTGACACTGAAAAAATTTCTCTGCCAGAATATCTATTCAGGCCTGTGTCTTGAGTACTTTTGTAAGAATTATGTCAGGTTCCAAGTTGATAGCTATCAAATTTTTCAGGTGTCTTCTTATGAATTACAATCCAATGGTTCAGAGTTTCAAAAATAAGACAGTTCAAAGGTAGGTTGCCCATTTCCAGTCCTGTTTGGGTGTAAGAAAGGGAATATTAAAAATAAGTATTAAAATTGCGCTGGATAAGTTTGCCACATCTGCAAAGATTTTCTTTTTTGCAAATTCTAAGCCCAATCAGTATTCACTTCATGACAGTAATGCTGTGCAAAGATTCAAGCAACATGAGAAAAAGAACAATCTAACTGATCAGAATGTGTAGAAATAAACTCATCCCAAAAATTGGTGATACCAGTTTTAGAACCATTTTTGACATATTGACGCACACTTTGCTTTATTTGGCAAATGAATCAGATCTGGGTTTTAAAGGAAGTTCATAATTATGCATCATAATTTATGCTCATGGTCATGAGCATCTGGGTAATACTATCTAAATTATCCTATCACATACCAAACTTGAAAATATAAATTGTTGAAAAGTTAGCTGTTCCAATGTGGGGTATAATAATATCTTCCATAGATGATTATGGTAGCCAATCAGAAAAGGATCAAACTCAGTTAGGTTCCACTTAACACACAATATTTGTGTGTGATATAGACTGAGACTTAAGTAACCTAATGAAATCATAAATGCAATTGCATTTGGACTTTGTGGAGAGCTACATATGAAATCTTACCTAAACTACTGGTCCTCTGGAAAAAAAAAGGTTATTGAGTATTCAGCCAGATGGTTTCAATGAAACTAATCTTGTTCAAAGAAATTTTTTTTTAAACCACAGTTTCAACTGCATTTTCATTACCTAAGGGACCGTTTTACAGATATTCCTTAGCTCAAGCCAACAAAAATTTTAGTTTCTCTCCTGTTGCAGACATCAAAATTTTCATAAAACTCTGCAGCTTTATCTCTTGGCATCATGTACTGATTTCAGATTATTTACGTTCTACTGGTATATTCTAGCCGAATGCAGGATTATGATGCAACATAACCCATTGGAACGAATAGAAATATTACAAAGAAAGTGTAAATTATTCACAATAATTGTATACATTTGATATCAGTCATGCAACAATATTATTTCAAATATTTGCAATGTTGCTGCATAAAATTTAGCTTTACATTATGTATTAAAATTTAGCACGTGTAAACCTTTTCAAAACTACATTTTCTCTTGGCTTTAAAACACAGCACTACGTTAGCTATACTAAAGGATTAAATTTGAATGAAAGAAGCATTTTGTGGGACTTTTTCAATTGTTTTGAAATTATAACATCTGGTTTTACATGTTTACAGTTAGTTCATAACATGTCTTCTCTATATGACCAGTCTTAAAATGTAGAATGAACATTTGTTCAAATTGATGAGTTAATCTGTACAATATTTTTGGAGCCAATTGTAAACACAGCATTGTTGGCTTTTAGATTGAAACAGCTGAATACTGAACTTGCATTGAAACCAGTTGTGTTTATGTACACTTTTTGGTCTGTTTGACCTCTGAATAATGCCAGTACAATGAAAGATTTTTAGTTCTGATTTTAGATGATGTTCCAAGAATTCTAACACTAATCTAATTTAACATTTTAGTTTATTGCTGAATGTGCCATTGGATGGCCACTTCAGTCAAACATTCTTTAAAATTAGTGTCCTCGTTTCTTTAATTGTCTCCTTTATCACCCAGAAGGCAAAAGAATTCTATTGTCTCTTTGCAAACTTTAATTTATAGCCTATATAACTTAAGCACTGAGCATGTAATTTCTTCGACCAATGGCGTTCATTATTTGTATAATAAACCTGTGCCACACAAAATTTTCTGTGCCCTAATCTACATTGCAGTGAAAATTTAACCTCAAATTGGCATCTGCAAGAAAACAAATGCCAAACTCAATTGTTCTCCGAGAAACTTTTTTAATGGAATTCAGTACTGTCATAAATTGAAAGCATTCAATCTTGTTAAAGACCAGTTTGCCAATGGCTGTTTAATGAAAGGAGTTTGGAAAAATGGATTGATTACCATATGATGAAAGTACTTGGCACTGACCAATGTTTTCTTTTAAGCAAGCTTTATTTGAATCATCACCACATCTAAAATGACCAGTCTGGGAACGGTCTATATAATCTGCAGAGTCTTGAAACAATTTGAAGTATTGAGTCTGGTGGGCTGAGTTGTGGGGGATGGGGGGTATGAAGAAGCCATTGAAATAGTTGGGAGCCAAATCAAGACAGCTTCCAGTTTCAGTCCTACCACCAATGAAGTTTTCAAGTAGTGGTACTGGTGTAGGGTGGTTGTCTGTCAAATGGAAGCAGGCAGCTATTTTAAATATTTAAGGATCCTATTAGATTTAATTTTGTATTGACCGCAGAACAGCCCCCTGCCACCAGCACTCAAGGAGGCCATCACCTGCATGGAGACAACGTCTCTCCCCACCATTGGGTGGGGGGCATGGAAGTTACTGGCACCATGCTTCAAAGAAGGGTTAGCAGGTAAGGCTGGCCGGATCAGGAGCTTACCTGCATTCCTTGATTGAATGTCAAGACTGGAGGTGGCATGTTAGAGAGGCCACCTCCGTAAAATTGCTGAGCTGGTCCTGATTTTGGCATGTAAGGACTCGATTCCCCCACTTTCTACCAAAGTTGAAGTCTTAAAACCCATAATAAAAATCTGGCCATAATTTCAGTAACAACAATTCTCCTATGCGTTTGTTGATTTTTTTTTGTTTGTTGCCCCTTTTTCAGAAGCTTGCCACAAATGGTGAAGTGTTGGACCAATAGTGTTACCTATTTACAAGAAATGTAACTGCCGGTGGTTTAAGCTAAGGGTCACCATGTCTCAGGTGAGGGGAGAGGTTGAAAAGGAGAGTCCTTCATGGTAACCTCAGTCAGTGCAGAAATTGAACCTACGCTTTTAGCATTACTCTGTATCCCAAACTCGCCATCCAGCCAACTGAGCAACCGATCTCCACCACTGAAAAAATTCAACCATGACTCACAAAGTGAGTTAAAGATTGTATTAGATCAAAGGAAGAGGCTTATAAATGTGCCAAAAATGTGATGAGCATGAGGATTGGGAACATTGTAGAATTCAGCAAAGAACAACCAAGAAAAAAATAGAACATGAAAGCAAACTAGCAACAATCATAAAAACAAACTGTAAAAGCCAAATGGTTTCCTACAGTACCTATATTCTTATAACCCACCTAAATGATGAGCCTTCACCCAAGTAGATGATGAACTCGAGCAGTGAATGCTTTGGCATATTTAACTGTGGCCAATCAGTCTGGTCTGGCCATTGGTTATTTAATGTCGATATATATGCTTCCAGTAAGTGATATAGGATAACAGTTATGTATTGTACAAAGTAACGATTTTAAAAGCAGTAATGTTGGAGATTGCATTAAACTTCACCCAATATGATGATGTCACACAGGTTTGAATGCTAATAAGGTAGAACCTCTTAGGCTATCATGGCAAGCAGACCTAGGTCTCCTCCTAGATATTTTAATCAACCTCTGGACCAAGTGGGACTTTAACTTGCCCCAGCAGTAGGATTATTTCTATTGCCACGAGACCCCAACCTAGGTGTCATCCTAC